GGAAAAAATCAAATTGTGGTAAATTTCTTGATTAGCATAGCTTTCCGCTAATTGGAAATGTGGTCTGGCTCTCAGAATAATAATGGCTATTATCTATGGAGCACTCACATGTGCCAGGCACAGTACCAAGCCCTTTGCAAGTATTATATCTTTTAAAATGCTCATAGCAACCCAGTAAAGCCCTTTTCATTTTTATACTTGTGGAATCTGAGGTAGGAGATGGAGAAGGGACTTTTCCCAGGGGACACAGATAGTTAGAGCTTGGATTGGAAGCTAATTCTCCTTGGCTCCCAAGGCCGACACTTACCTGTTATTCCCACTTGCAGTGGGCAACAGGCCATGCTCTTAGTAATCATTCTCTCCAGGCCCACGGAACCCTGGGATTCTTTGGAAGCCCAGGTTGATAGACATTGGCATATGAAAGCTCATGCTAAAAAGCAAAAAAAAAAAAAAAAAAAAAAAAAAAAAAAGGATACGATAGAGATCTAATACAGAAGAAGTGCCACCTTTAGCAGAGTGCCAGGACTACACAGGGTCTAGTGATGAGGAAATGAAGAATCGGCAGAGCCCGAAGACCCAGGTGTCTTTTCCCTTGTGTTCGACTATTGTGAACAGTGTTTCACACAGTCATGCATCCAAGTGACAAAGGCAAATGATCATACGTGCCAGCCAAGGTAGACATGGATTTCACTTATTTTCTTCCGTAAGGAGACAATGGTTAATTACCAAGAAGTTCTGAATTCGGTAGACTGCCAAAAAGGGAATTGGAGAAAGACCGAGATCCATCACTGAAGAACCAGAAAGCCCTTATCTTGCCATGTGTCTCACAGTCACTTCACTCCAGTGTACCTGCTGTGTGCCAGTCAGCTTACCAACCTCCCGCAGTCCACCACCAACCCATCAGATGGGTACCATTATCCTCCCGATTTTACTGTTTAGGGACCTACCACTCAGAGAAATGAGATAACTCATCTAAGACTCCACATCTAGTAAGTGGCCTGGCCAAGGATCTCTACTCGGTTCTCTCTGAGGTCACTACACTCCTCACATCCTATGTCGCCCCAACATGTTGGTAAATGGCAATTCCCTGGAATTTTAGGGAGCATCACTATTTCTGTTTGTGGCGAGCCCTCAAGACACTGCTGATTTCTATTATTTCTCATAATCAATTATTCCCCCCTCCCTGAAACAGAATGAAATCCCTCAAACACCTAAGTGTTTTACATAATTTATACCATTTAATCTTCCAATCAGACTCATGAGGTAGGTATTAATATCATCACAATTTTGCAGGCAAGGAAATACAATTTTTAAGGGATTTTGGTGACTAAAATGTCATAGGAGTGAGAGACAGAATGGAATTTGAACCCAGGCCAGCTAACTTCAAAGCTGTGAACTTGGCATTTAGCACACAGCTCTGCATAGCTAGAGTGAACAATGGTTATTCTTCCCATTACACGAGCTAAGGACAAGGGATCAGTGCCTACAAGCAGGACAACAGGACTGCTAAGTCTGGCTTACCAGCCAATTTCCGATGCGCTCAATGTCACTCTCTATTAAACCTAATTATGCAATACGCAGGCCTCCAAGTGTATAAATACCCACCTTATTTATTTTGCTGACTCAAGCCTCCTAGCTAACTGCATTGTCTGTGAACTAGGGGATGCCGAAGGAAGTGGAAGAAGTCAATATTACTAACATCATCAACAGCTCCATCTCCAGCTTTAAACGGAAGATCAGCTTTGCCACCATTGAAATTTCCGGTGATAACGTCGACTACAGCAACTTGACTATGAAAACCAGTGACAAGTTCAAGTTTGTCTTCCGAGATAAGATGGGAAGGATTGTTGATTATTTCACAATTCAAAACCCCAGTAATGTGGATCGATATTCCAAACTACTGTTTCCTTTGATTTTTATGCTGGCCAATGTATTTTACTGGGCATATTATATGTATTTTTAAGAGGACATTAAAAATTTTCCTTCAGCGGAAGGAAATAATGATATAAATGGAATTCTAAGCCAAGTGTGCACCCTAACCCAATGGTGCTAAAAATAACTAAAGTAACAATTTGGCATTTATTATCAAAGAATGGACCCCACAACCATTATTTAAGCTTGTAGATGTTCCAGCATTACAGAGTCTTGTAATAGAAATATCAACCCCTTCCTTTTTTATCTTTACAAAAGACATCCCCATGGAGCCAAGATTACAAGCAGTACTCAGGGTTGCCTGCCTGCTCAGTGGCTCCCTGGCCTGCATTTACCTCATATAAAAAATGTGAGAGGGAGGCCATTCCATGTACTGAGTAACCCTCTAGTGGCAGGGGTTGTTTCTGAATTAATCACACATGCCATTATTAAATCTCCGTAGTGCTTATAAAACGCATTGTTGCCTATTTAGGGAGCAACATTTTCTAGTTTTTTGTTTTTGATTCAAAGGAAATGTGGGCCTAAGTCAATTTACTGAAAGTCACTATATTAACTCAACACCAAGATGAGTTTTTAATACTGTATTTAATACCACAACAGAATTGTCCCCAAATTCCAATAAGTCCTACCACTGAAAAGTCAGATGTAAGTGAAGAAAAATTTAGTGGATCAATCATCTCACACATAAACCCCTTGTTTCTAAGATACAATGGCTTCCCCAGACTGGAAGGGCTCTGGGGCTTTCTTCCCCATTTGACATGCCTTATCCCTTTATCATTACACACACGCCAACCCTCAACATTGCTGGAGCCCTTTCCCCATATCAGGGACGGGAATGGAGGCTGTTTGGTTTTTGTGTGTTTTGTAGTGATTCTGGAGTCTTCGTGTGGACTGTTGCCGTGAAGACGTATAGTGTTGAGTCCATTTCTATCTGCTGCTCTTTCCCAGCCGCAGACCCCTGCGTCCTTCCAGGAGGAGCTTGCATCCTCAAGCTCTAATGACCAGGAATGACACTTGTTCGATACTGAACTGCATTTCCCAGAAACACGTGGGTTAGCACTAGCCAGCGTGGCCACGCTCACTTTCCTGAGCCTTCGAGCTGGACGGCAAGAGCAGGAGAATGTTGGCCCTGGGTCCTGAACTCTCTGAGGAGCAGTGGAACTTGTTACGGAACTTATGTTCAGGCTGCAGGTGAGCCGTCCTTTCCAAGTCCAGCCACGCTCACCCTCAAACAAGAAGCACAGCGCGCATCTCTTCCTGCTCCATGGCCAAGTTCAGCCCACAGCATGCGTGGCGAGGTGCGAGTGTGCCGTGATCAAGGCTTCCAGTTCAGTCTCGGTCGTTTTAAAGAATCTTGCCATCTTTAGTTCTTTAGCTTCCTTTTCTAATGAATGTGTGCCTTCACCCCTCGTTTTGGAAATAAACATGGTTTTGGAAGCTCATCTTGCCTCTATAACCCTCTAAACCACAGGCTCTCATTCTTTTCCCCACTATGATGCTTTTCCACAATTTAGCTTCTATGGCAGTGATGGCGAACCTATGACACGCGTGTCAGAGGTGACACGTGAACTCATTTTTTTGGGTGATTTTTCTTTGTTAAATGGCATTTAAATATATAAAATAAATATCAAAAATATAAGTCTTTGTTTTACTATGTTTGCAAATATCAAAAAAATTCTATATGTGACACGGCACCAGAGTTAAGTTAGGGTTTTTCAAAATGCTGACACGCCGAGCTCAAAAGGTTCACCATCACTGTTCTATGGACTTGATCACCTGAACTTTTAACAAACTGTCTCTAATAGGAATGGGGTCACTGACATGGGTGGAATGTAGTTGCATGGTTCGATTATATTTGTGATTTTTTAAAAAAGGTTTACAAGGAAACATCTTCTTTGAAACCCCATTTAAACATTATCTGAAGGAAACTATAAATATGTGAAATAAATATAGCACATTAGCTACCCACCAAATCAAGTGGTCATCTATAGATTGATCTTCATTTATCGTAAGATCCTATTTGGAAAAGGTATACATTGTAGTACAAACTCAGGGGTTCACACCTTCTATCCTCATGTTCCCCACCCCAGACAGTACACACACACACACACACACACACACACACACACACACACATCTCCTGCCAAGGAAAACAACCATTGGTGACAGACAGTCAATGCCCTTTTCAACCTCACTGCCCTGTAACACTTGCCTTGCAATTAGGCAACTGGGCCCAATGATATTGAAAGATCCAATTCTCAGAAATTTCACAGATTTCCTTCCAAGCCTTCTTTATTGTTTTGAAACTACCTTCTATTTTTGTTAAATGAGATTTTTATAGTTTGAGAATATACTTTGGGGGGGGGGATATTATTGGATTTTGCATCTCTCTGAACTTGATGTGGGCTGTGATATTGGAGTTCCCAGTAAAAATTCCTAATATTCTACATCTGTCTCATGTATCCTGCCTACCCAGTCAGTCCCAGGACTCGCTTTATTCAAAATACTTATTTCGAGGGTAAAAAACATTGAGCTAACCTCTTGATACAATCGGACTTCCCAAGATGATGAAACCAGGAAGCGTTGAGGATATTCTAAGGCATGGAACTATAATTTTTAATTACCTTGATATTAAAAATGTCAATATTCACAATATAGAAAGTTGTATATAAATAGGAAGACATTCAATAACAAGTGACAAGTAAATTTTAAGGGGAAATGGAGAAATGGGCAGATCAGAAAAGAGCTAGCAAACACAGTAGACCACCAGCTGAAAATGAGTAGGTGACACAGGAGAGTTCCACTAGGAGAAAAAGTACAGGTGGGCTTTAGTGCCAGACAAGTAAGGGGACAATCGTAGTCAGGGAGAGTGTGACAACCAGGATTGAGGTGTGTTCCTTCTTCAATGGTGTGCATTACTCTTACACAGAACGAGCAGTTCTTCTCTGCTGCTGGCCCATAGTCCATTTTGTTTGGTCCAGAATACATTTACTGCCAGATATCTTTGCTTCTTAATATACATTTTTAGAATTGAGTCTTAAAAAATAAATAAACTTCAAAAAATAAAACTGAGTCTTAACAGACAGGGAATTATACCTCAATACTAGTATATAGTCAGGGTAATGTATGTGTTGTACCAAGGACCTTAACGAACAAAAGAACATTTGAATACATGTCTCATGTTTCTGAATAATTAAAAAATATACATATATAATGCACATCATTTTTAACAGTTTTTGTAGAAAATTTAGACATATATGTCATACTGTAGTTTATTTGGGTTGAAACACATTGTGTCCAATTTTGACCATCATACTTTCGAGGAGGATGTGCAAAAATTGGAAAAGAGTCCAAGAAAAATGACAGAAGCGATTAAAATAATGGAAAACGGGTCCAATAAGAAGATTTTGTGCCCTGAAAAGCAAGGCTAAGTGATAATGACTACCATTAAAAGGTTCCAGAAAGGTTTTGTACAAGGGACATGCTGTTCTTCTCTTCACTTGAATAAGTGAACTGAATAAAAGGAAACAGACAAATGAACTCAGAGCAAGTCTCGTGGTTTAGAAGGAAGAAAATGTGCAAGTCGAATAACGAAATGCAGTTGAATAATGAACTACTCAGACAAATTTCGAGTCTCCATCTGGAAATTCCCCATGAGGATACACAATCGTGTCTCCCCTTGATTTTGCCACCCGCATGCCTGAAAGCAGATGGCTCGATTCTGCCAGGCGACCTTGGGAGGCGTAGATGCAGGGAGACCCCTCTGGCTGCAGAAAATGAAAGTGTCATACCAAGTACTGCTAACCGAGAAATGGATGCCTACTGATATTCCTGGTGGCCCACAGGGTGGTGTTCCATAATTATGCCTTTTTGGGGGGACTTGAAGGGGAGTCACGTGCCTCACAGCTTTCAGTGACTTGGGTGTGAAGTAGGCTTTGATCATGCCATTTCATCACTTACAATTGTGCCTTTCCAGAAATCAGAGAAGACACAACCCCATCTGGAAAACTGGAGAGGGGAACAAAACATAAAAAGTGAGTTAGCTGCTGCATGTTGAGCCAGTGTCTCTGTGATCTGTGAGGACATCTGTGTCTGCAAGCCAGTTATCTCTTCTTCTCTAAGCCCCGACTAGAGCCAGGACCTAAATGGTCTTGGAGGGGTGGGTGGTCCATACCCTACATTCCTGGCCTGCTTCCTAAAGGGTGTCCCAAAATTCACGCAAGAAGTAATTTTGATAGAAAACATAGGTTTATAATTAAAAATTGTAAATTTTTTATTGGTTCATAAAGTACATAGTATAGGGTTATGTATGGAATAGCATATCAGGTAAATGGCCTCCATGGCTTTGCTGGCACATATGCACTCTTTTGTTGAAATTTTCCATGACCGTTTTGCATAAATGTGGCTGAATTTCGTTGATACAGTGCTCAATTTCCTCCTTCAAGGTGTGGGTGGTCGTGGGCTTTTTGGCATAAACCTTAGACTTCAAAAAAATGCAAAGAAAAAAGTCAAACAGCCTATCAAAATTACTTCTTGCGTGAATTTTGGGACACCCTTTATTTACTAGTAAGACAAGGCATGAATTGTATTACAGTCCTCAAGGGAGAGGATGTCAGACTTCATCACCTGAAGCTCCATTTTCATCTGGAGATTCAACCCATTTTCAACCAATACAGAAACTTGGTTAATATACTGTGTAGAAAGAAGTTAACATAATAGGCCTGAGACTACTATCCTTAAAAATTCTGTTTGCAAGATCACCATCGCTGGCATCTGAGAATTAGGGTTTGGGGAGAGTTCCCAGTATTCCCTAACTTGTAAGAGTGGCGCCCTCAGCCTTAACTGTTTGTACAAACTATGTGGCTTATGTTGAACACCTGCTTTTCTCCTGGGAGTCTGGAATTCTGGCTCATGCTAAGCAGAGGCAGCCTATGTGAATCTCGGAAACTGAGTCTCTGATGAGCTTACTGGTAGTTAACACTGACACATGTTGTCACGATTCCATCTGGGAGGAATTAAGCACATCCTGGTGACAAGGTGAGGAGAAGACTCTTGGAAGCTGATGCCTGGTTTCCTCTGGACTTGACTCCATGTGCTGACTATACTTTGTATACTTTGCTGTAGTGTATCACAGCCATGGGTGCCTCTATATGCTGAGTCCTGAGTCCTCCTAGAGATGCACTGAACCCGTGGGTGGTCTTGAGGACCTCTGATACACATCTTTGGACCAGGGGTTCCTAAACCTGGCTGAGCACAAGATTCACTGGGGGAGCTTTGCAGACAACAGATTCCAGAGCCTATGGACTCACTCCAGATCTATGGACTCAAGATCTGTGTTTCTCAAAGCTCTCCAGGTGTTTGTGATGTGAAATCAGATGGGAAGCCAGATGGCAAATGCCTTAGTGAAAGACAACAGGTGCAAGAAAGCTATATTTTCTAGGAAGAAAAATAAGAGTATGTCTGCCACATGGAAGGAAAGAGCCCAAATCAATGTGATATGATTATTGGGTGTGAATAATGCAGACAGCAGACAGAAAGCAAAGCTTTTCCTTTGTCGCATTGAACCTTTCATGTTAGTGCCAAGAAGGAACAGGGCAGGTCCTGTTTCCGATATAGCCACAGCATAACAAAAAGTCCCCCAATGAAGCCTGGCAGGTTTAGCCAGAATGAGAATTACATCATGTTTATTATCTACTAGAGGCCTGGTGCATGAAATTTGTGCACTCGGGGGAATCCCTCAGCCCGAACTGCACCCTCTCGCAGTCCAGAAGCCCTCGGGGGGTGTCTGACTGACATCCCCTGAGGGGAATGGGCCTAAGCCGTCAGTCAGACATCCTTAGTGCTGCTGTGGTTTCTGGCTGAGCAGTGCTCCCCCTGTGGGAGCACACTGACCACCAGGGGGCAGCTCCTGCATTGGGTGTCTGCCCCCTGATGGTCAGTGCGCGTCACAGCGACTGGTGGTTCTGCCATTTGGTCGATTTGCATATTTGCTTTTTATTATATAGGATGGATTAGGATACTCATTTAATTTCCAAATTTTAGAAGCAGTCATGAAGCTGACATTTTAGATTGAATACTTACATGGACATATTTAACAAACAAAAAATGTGGCTCTGTCGTCCTCGTTACATTCAGAAACATGGCCTGATAATGAATAAAGTTGATTTTGATGAGGTTTCTTTTTTAGAGGAAGCAGGAAAGTATGTCCCTCATGGATTTTGCTTTTCAATAACACGTTATTGAACCAATTCACCAAAATGCATCTTGAAGAGTCAAAAAGCCCTCATTCATAAATCAAATCGTATCTATGAGTCAAAACAAAGGAAAAGGAAGAGGATGACAGTGGAAAGTGATAACCATAAATATCACCAATAAAAGTTAAACTCAGATGCCGTGGCATTTAAAGCCACAAACCTTAGAATGTAATAAGAAAGTGAATTTTTCCAAATGTAAAGAAGTCCCAGGAGGAATCACCCCTTAAAAAGAAGATGAGGTGTACCTTTTCTGGGATTATATATTTCTCAAATCCTAACAAA